TTTAATGTATTTTTATCAATGCAACTTTGGTTTTTGAGTATGTTTAATCTATCAGACCCGAAACTTTGTAGCAAACCCCACGTCTGTCCGTATTAATTTGAAGTGGAGTGAGGCTGGTCAATAATATTACAATATGTATAGTATTATTAACATTACAGTATACAGTAGTTGGCTTATTAACTAAAAACAAAACCTACAGTTCATTTTGACTGATTTGTATCATAAAGGAAGGGTGAAAAGTTTCAGATTACTTGTACTATTACTGAAAAAAAAACACTAGCTAAATATACTAAACAGGATTTTTATATTTCCAGTGTTGGTAGACGTCAGCATCAAAAAGCAGTATTAGAAATATAGACTTACAACAAAACATAATAGCCTTTGCATCTTTGCTGGCTCGCAGACAAATTTCACTGCACTGGAAATCTTTAAATCCACCTAAAGCATCACACTGGCTTCAAGATCTGATGTTATATTTACACTTGGAAAAAAATAAATATTCAATTAGAGGCTCTAGCAAATTCTCATATGTATGGCAACCATTATTAACATAATTCTCTGCTATAAGTGTACTTCCTGGTGATAATGTGACTGTCTTGTATGTAACTGGAATCTTTTTTCTTTGTCCTTTCTTTCTCTGTCCAGAATCTCAAGCTTCTTCTATGTTAACTTACCATTGTAAGATAGCACAGCCTTATCCCTCATTGAATCACCCATTACTGTTGTCACTCTATTTCTATATGTATTTACAATTATTTTATTTATTTATGTATGTGTTTATTTTTTATGATTATTTTTTTAAAGATTTGGCAGCTCTTTTTTACATTTTTTAAAAATTCATTATTATTTTTTTATAATTACTTTTCCTTTCATTTTTATTTATTTATTTATTTTTATCGTTCTTTAGGCAGTGTATTTAGGGGTTGTTAAAGTGGATTTTATATGTATAAAATGTATATAAAATGTCAATTTTCTGTATAAATAATGTAACTTGTTCTTGGCATAAAAAATAAAGGAAAAAAAAAAGAAATATAGACTTCATCATTTTAACACCAGATAACTTATCAACCACCCTTGTAGAAGAGATAAGAGAATCAATGTTTATAACAGAATAAATAATTGTAGTAGATTGAAAGGTGAAAACACATGTTCTCCCAGAGGAAAGCACACACACACATATAGCCAAAGGGTTTTTGTGTCTGAGAACTGCCCTTCCTTGCTCTCTACGTCCAGCGATAGGCCTGACCTCTCATTTTAGCCAGGTGTCCTGACCAAGACTGCCGAATAGCATCTGTGACTGTTACAACCCCAAGTATTGAATAACAGAGATCTCATGCTAAACGCTCTCTTCGGGGACTCTTTGTGATCATTTTTCTTTTTGTTTTTAAATATGACCGCACACAGTACCATTTAAATGGCTGAAGGTATTCACTGCAATAACCTTCTTAAATACAGACCCATTTCAGCATGTAGGCATATATACATATCTAAGTGAGTTAAGTTAATTTTACTTGCTCTTTGGGTGTTTTGGACAATAGGGGAAGCGAACGACAAGTGACTGCCTCTGTGATTTTATCTGATCACCAACACATTAGCACCTTTCATTGGGATAAAAAGCCATTCAACGCATGCAGAACATGCGCAGCTCAAAGCATTTAAGAGATTAACATACAGTGTGCATATTTCTAAGACTAATTAACAGTGCCAATAAATACATTTAATTTAATGTGGGTCCACATTGTGTGAGTGTGTACTTTTCACAGATTGAACTTGAAGCAGGGCAACACTTTCACACGTATGTGTGTGTGTGTGTGTGTGTGTGTGTGTGTGTGTGTGTGTGTGTGTGTGATTTTCAGAAATGAAGACTCTGGTTGGATGACATTTAAGTGTTTTGAGGGTTGTGGTGATTTGATGTGGATTTAACGCCATTAAACAGTTCATGAAGTACACGCTGAACATGTAAACACATATACACAAATGATACTACACACTTAACAACAAGCTGAGTGCAAATTAATCTTACCTAGGGAAATTAACTGTTTTTAACTGTTTACTAAATTTCCATAAACACATTTTTACTACAAATAGACCATGATTAACCTATAATTAGTGTAGAAAACCATGATTAGTTTGAGGTTATTTTGTCATTATATACAAAAATGTTTGGTTGTTGTTGCTTCATTTTGCAGTAAAACTACGGTTATTAGGGATGTTGTGTTTGATAGGCAAAGTTATTACCTCACAAATTAAGTTAACTGACTTTGTATGAAGTTTTTCTCAAGGCAATACAATTGAAGCGCAGATTTCCCCCACAGGACGTCGTCTTCTTCACACACCAAACTTTAAACACGAAAACAGGAAGAGTGATTGCGGAAGACGCAGATGCAGCTACCTGCGAGCGCAGACTCGTGAGCGCGTGCTGTGCAGTTGACGTGAGTAAAATAGAGGCGGGGCTTCCGCGCGAGAGAGGTATTTAAACTGTTCGAGCGCCACAACATTTAGAAAAATACTGAAGACTTGCTGGAGACTGAAGGAGCTGGAGAAGTCTTTTAGAGATGGCTTATTACGAAGTAAGTTATAATGCCTATTTAAACATTGTCTGTAATTATTAAATAGCATACATTTAAATTAATTATTTCCAACTTTGTTAACTTTTTCAGCACATCGTCTTTGAAGATGATTTATCAGCTGATAACAGCTCTGAATTCGGCTCGGGGGACATCGGAGCCAACTTTGAGGTCCCGTGTGATGTGGAGGTCAGTCACGACTTCCAGAGGATCTTTCTCCCAACGGTGTACGGGATCATATTTGTTTTGGGTCTTATCGGGAACGGACTGGTTGTTCTGGTAATGGGTTGCCAGAAGAAATCCAGAACCATGACAGACAAGTACCGTCTGCACCTCTCAGTGGCGGACCTTCTGTTTGTGCTCACTCTGCCATTCTGGGCTGTGGACGCGGCCAAAGACTGGTACTTTGGAGGGTTCATGTGCGTGGCCGTGCATATGATTTACACGGTAAACTTGTACAGCAGCGTCCTCATCCTCGCCTTCATCAGTTTGGACCGGTACCTCGCTGTAGTGCGCGCCACAAACAGCCAGGGTCCGAGGAAACTTCTGGCCAACCGCATCATTTACGTGGGCGTGTGGCTCCCCGCCGCGCTCCTCACTGTGCCCGACCTGGTGTTCGCCAAAGCGGAGAGCAGCGCCATCCGTACCTTCTGCGAGCGCATATACCCGCAGGACTCGTTTGTCACATGGGTGGTCGCCTTCCGCTTCCAGCACATCCTCGTGGGCTTCGTGCTTCCCGGGCTCGTGATCCTCATCTGCTACTGCATCATCATCTCCAAGCTGTCGCGCGGCTCCAAAGGCACGCAGAAGCGCAAGGCGCTGAAGACCACCGTGGTTCTGATCGTCTGCTTTTTCGTCTGCTGGTTGCCGTATTGCGGAGGGATCCTGCTGGACACGCTGATGATGCTGGAGGTGATTCCCCACAGCTGCGAGCTGGAGCAGGGGCTGCAGAAATGGATCTTCGTGACGGAGGCGCTCGCGTACTTTCACTGCTGTCTCAACCCGATCCTGTACGCCTTTCTGGGGGTGAAGTTCAAGAAGTCCGCTCGCAGCGCTCTGTCTCCCAGCCGGGGGTCCAGTCTTAAAATTCTGTCCAAGAAGAGGACAGGAATGTCATCCGTGTCCACAGAATCTGAATCTTCCAGCTTTCACTCTAGTTAACGCAAGAGCGCGCACCTTGGACTATGAACATGCTTTCAGATTTAATGTCATGAAATTACCAGATATAAAAATGAGCAAACAGGCTGAGCCTAATTGAAAAGTTGTAAATATGTTCATAAGAATGTTGACAAATACTGCAATGCTTCCAGTATTACTCTTCACATTGAGACTTTGTGAGGAAAAATGTGTTTATATATTGTGCACAATGTTTACTGTACATATCATGTGTGTATATAGATTTTTTTACTTAGTTCTTTTCTGCACTTATGTAGACCATTGCATTTATTTATTATGTGATAAACCAAAGATGGATTGAATTATCCATTCCAAGAGCTGCTTTGTCAATTTGAAGTCTTTACAATAAATTGTTTTGAATACTCAAACTTTTGTTTGTGGCCACATTTCTTTATAGTGCATGATAATGGAGTTTCCCTGCAATACCCAATGTTTGTACTCATCATAGAGACATGTGACATAGTGTAGAGCGCTGTTTCTTATCAATATCTTTTCAAGCATAAAATAGAAAAAGTACAGTGATTACAGAAACGCATGATCTCTCCTGTCTGACACACACACACACTGACGATGGGGATTCTCTGAGATGCAAACTCAAGTCTGAAGAGACATGTTGTACCCTTTGAAGGGATTCCCAACACACTGCAGAGTCCATTCAACCATAAACAATCACACACACACACAAACCTGCTTAAATGCAAATAATAGAAGTGCAAGATTTGGTTTGATTTCCACATATAAATTCTGTCAGTATTATTTGCACTTGTTTTTGCTCTCTCATAAGTGTAATTTCACTATAGTGGGGTTTTGTTTATTCAGGTGGTGTCACAACAAAACTGTGTTGCCATGTCTCTGACACTGATTGGCAGTTGTAAATATATCCCATATGAGTCATAAAACCACATTTTATATAGTCTGACTTGAAACAAAAACTTGATCACTGTGGTTTTATACAATGGTCTGGGTAAAAAAAAAAAACCCTGGTTAGGGGATCTTGTTCACATTTGCTAGAAATTCATCAGACAAACTATGTGGCATACATGATGATTTGCCTTTCTGTGAAACTCACTATACTCAATATCAAATGAAAAAAGAGCTGCATTCTATTGAATATTGAGAGAAGAAAACAAATAGAAACCACTTTTAACTACTTCTGAAAGTTATTGTAGAGGATGTATGAAAACATGTCCGTAATGTCACACTATAACATTTTACAACTATAAAGTGGTTATAAAGTTTACAAGTAGAACTTGATCCTAAAAACATCAAACTAATAAGTAAATGCATGACGTGATTTCTTCAAAATAAATATTTTGATATATTACTTTTAGAAAAGTGGAGCATGATGCTAACAATGTCAAAATTATAATATTCTTAAGAAATGCATTAGTTTAAAACCTCTAATGAAGTATCTATATAACATTGTGTTTTACATGACCAATAAAAACTTAAAGAGTTTGCCAAATATGGACAAACCCAAATGTTGGGTTGACATTAAAAGGACATTTTATATCCAGTAGTTTAGCTTGTCCAAATTTGACCCAATCTTGAGTTTAAAAGCCAACATTGCTTTGTAAACATCCGTATTAATAAGCTTTTGAATGCTTGACTCTGATTGTTTGATGAGCTCTTTAAGATGTGCAAAATACATATTCAAACACACAGCTAAAAAAGTTGTAGCCAGTTCAAGACTGCAGGTCCAGATTACTGCACTGCATGATATTTCAAATAGCTTCACAGACAAAAATCACATCAAAACAAAAGTCATTGCATTAGATGCGTAAGAAACAAAAAGAAATCTTACATCTAAACAATGCACTGTAAAAATGCTGGGTTCCTCACAAATCCTTCAATTGAGTTAACTTAATTGTTTTTACAAATTTAAGTGGATTGCACAAAAAACAATTAAGTTGTCCGCCCACAAAAACTTAAGAATTGTGTTGTTTCAGCTCATTTTAAATAAGTATTTTGAACAAGCAGCAAAATAATTTTTTAATGTGTGTCTTTAGATGTGGTAACCATAGTAAACAGTACAAAATGATTAGTTGACTTTACTTTAAAAAGTGAGTAAACTTGCTGCCTTAATATTTTTACGTAAATTACCTATGTGCATAATTATAAAAAATAAGTTAAATCAACTTAACAGTTCCTAGTTATAATGGGTTTACTAACTATTTTAAATAAAGTCAAGCTGACGCTTTTAAGGCAACAGGTTTTACTCACTTTTTTAAGTAAAGTGAACACTTACAGTGTATATATTTTGTAAACTACATTTTAGGCACAATGTTAGTCTATTTTGCCAATGAAAGTTGTTGCAATAAAGGACAGATAAGAAAATTTCTGCATCTCAAAGCAACACTGTTGTGTTTAGTTTATTAATGAATCCATTTTAGAACAAATCATTTAGTGCAGTCATTCAATGCTCCATTTATATGTAATATATATATATATATATATATATATATATATATATATATATATATATATATATATATATATATATATATATATATATATATATATATATATACAGTCAAGCCGAAAATATTTATACCCCTGTCAAATTCTGACCTAACGATTTTGATCAAATGTAAATAAAAGTTAGAAGTAGATATATTTTTCCCACATAGATAACTCTTTTACATCATCCTCTTTTATTTTGGGAGAAGCCTGTCATTTTAAGCTAAAAAAAATAAATAAATAAAAATAAAAATTGCTAGTTAAATTTAAAAAACGTTAATTCAGAATTTGCCAGGGCTATGAACAGTTTCAGGCTGCGTCCGAAACCGCCTACTACTCAGTAGGTACTGCATTTGAATTTAAACGTACAACTCGGTCGTTAGAAAAGTACGTTCTATACAGTATGAATGTGAAAAGTATGAATGGAATTCGAACGTACAACAATTTGCCATTTTGTCATGGTCACGTGACGTACCTGCGTCAATTGCGTCGCTTTACTCCCATTCATGAATTCGCTCGCGGGTCATCATGGGATAGCGCAGCTTACATGGGATGCGCACTCCAGAATCTCACTGGAAGTAGTAAGTCATCCGGGTACTTCTCGCATGCTGATTTTCGAATTCTATGAATTCGTATATACTACTCGGCTCACATACTGATTTTAGCGTACTATAAAGTATGAAAGAATGTGGTTTCGGACGCAGCCTCAGTCTTGACTGTATATATAAGTTTTAAAAAATGTTACAAAGAGGTCAAATCTGCTTTTGTTTGAAATAAGATTATTTTACTTACCCCACTTACATAATTTCTCATTTCATTTTAATTTCTCATTTCATTTCTAATTACTCACTTCTGAAAACAAAACAATATTTTTTACTAAATACTTGGACTACAACCAAGACAAAAACTATGTAAAATAAAAGCAGATTTTGCAGCTATAAAGACGGTCACTTGTTTTGTTTCAAAATGCAGCAGCTGTAATTATTTGCTGAATTATTCCTTAAGACAGGGATGTGTCACCAAGACCATTTCATTTAGTATCTTTTACATTTATTTTATTATTAATAATCAAATAATTACTTGTTTTATTTTGCACACTGCTAGTTTTCACTCAATAAATTATTTAGCTGCTTGTTCAAACTACTTATTTAAAATGAGCCGAAGCAACACAATTCTTGAGATTTTTTTAGGAACAACTTAATTGTTTTATGTTCAATTCACTTAAATGTGCTTAACTTATTTTATTATTGATTTGTGTTGGGACAACATGCATGAATTATGTGGAACCCTGCCTTTTTTACAGAGCATTGATAGGCCGGTGAATTATTATAAAGTTATGCACACCCAGTGTAACAGCATTACCACCTCAGATGTGCACTATATAATTGAACAGCCTGTCGTCAGTTATTCCTTAAATGAAATCCTTATACTCTAATATGATGAGGCAAGATCATACAAGACCACTATCAAAATTCTCTGGAATGAATTTTATGTACGTAGCCAGCATTTATTACTCATGATCCATGACAGTTTCATTCAATTCCAATGGGCTGAGAAGGAACCACAATAAAACCACAGGAGGTCTTTACAGAAGGAGAAAGTATTACAGCAATCCTCAGCAGTGCAGTGCTTTAGGAAACAACAGGCTGTGACCCCGCATTGCAAAAGCTGCTAACCGGGCCACCATGCTAAGAGGTGGAAATGCGTGAGAGTCGACCCATTGAGGAGGCCAAATCTACGCGTAAGGACAATACAAACTAACAGCGGCGAGTGGACGGCCCGTTGAGTCCCAGTGTGAGAGATTTGCATGTCTGAGAGTGTTAAGTGCCCCATCAGGCCTCTGTTCCCCCCGGGGGCCGCAAGAAAGGAGAGCGGACGGAGAAACATTCCTTAAGAGCTGGTCATTTATTTTGCTGTTAACCCTCCTTGTTCACCTTGTCAATTTGAATACATGTCACTCGATGTAGAATGATATAAGAGAGCATTTCTGCACATTTATCCAATAGCCTGTCAATGTAACTACGTATCAATCTTCAGTTTTAAAACAGAATAGTTAACTGACAAATGGAAAATCTGTCATTATGTACTGCGCATTATGACCCGCTTCAAACCCGCTTGACTTGATTTTCCTTGAGTCATAAAAAGAGAGATCTTTTCTGAGCATGTGAGGAGATTTTAAGCATTAAATGATACAAAACGTTTAAAAAAAAATGTAAAAGTAGTCCATGTTAGTTATGCCCTGCATTCTAACAAAGACTAGAAAATACATAAAGAGACTTTGATTCCAAGGAAAGTCCACTTAAAAAATACATACACTGTAATAATATACATGTTAATGAACAGTATCTGTATTTTATAGTAAGTGTTTTCTGTTTATTTATGGTTTTGGATTGCTTCATGGGACCTTGATCTCTGTACTGTCACCTTTTGATGTAGAAAATTCAACTCTTTGGTTAACAAAGTGACTTTTAGTGCAATTTTAGCAGTTTGAAATAATATATTGTATAAGAAAAAAGGTTTGGGTAATAATTCTGACTTCAACTGTGTATGCAAGTGCCACCTGTTCTATGTCCAGAAATGTTAATGGTAATTAAAAGGTAAATAAATTTAAGTTTATTTGTATAGCACTGTTTTACAATAATTGCTCCAAAGCAGCTTTACATTAGAATCTTTACAGTTTAAATCAGAAAAGTTAAGGTACTTTGGATAGTATATATCTATATACTATATATACTATATATATATATATATATGATGTATGTCCTTTTCTATGTGTATGATCAATTTTCAGTGAAGTGTGTGTGTGTGTGTGTGTGTGTTGCTTAAGTGTTGTTATTGTGGTGTTTGATCTGATCGAGTGGTGCTGCATAATTTTTAGGAGCCTATAGAAAGCAAAAGAAAGAGAATT